CGTTGCTTGTTCTATTTCCCTTGGCTACCCGACGTCAGCGCTTGAGCTTTTACTCTCGAAAGTTGGACGAATAAAAAAATGCTTCTTATAAATTTGCACAGACACAGCCAGAAATATCCAAATATAAAAGTCTAGCCAGGCAGAATGTATGGGCATGGCGTACTGAAGACTTGTTTACAGAAAACGAATATTAGAATGTTTTCAAATTACATCACTCAGTCACGTGCCTTTGGCCCAGTGGAACAATATGCCGATACCAGTTACCTGCATAATACTTTCCATTCGCAAGAGACGCCGGGAAATAGCGTATCTTTATCGTTGCACGTCACGTATAACCGGAAATCGTGGCACGCCGTTGAGGGCACATGCATTGGACACAGGTCGCTTGCTGTTTGCGATCTCTCCACTATTCCTCATTTTTACCTTTTAATCGCGCTTTTCAATGAATTTACGAAAATCAAAATGACTAGAAATTAACTCTGGACCAACGCATCCTCGGATCCTCGCAGTGCAGCGTAACTTAGAGCACACACCTATGTACTCGGTTGTATCAATTCACTGTTTTCACTTGTTAATGTAATACAACAACCACATTTTCCCTATACTTATTTATCCCCTCAACTGTTACTTATTTTAGGTTAATATATGCAGTTGTCATGGCAACAGATACTTCTCCCATTCCTGCAAAGAGAATAATTCTGTGGACTTATGCTCGGACACGATCAACGGTCTTCGAACTGTCAGTTTCTTCAGTGCCAACAATCAAAGTGTTCCATGAGCCATATCTTACGGGGCTTTGGATGGGCGAAGAAAAAGAGCATGAAACATCGATGCCCAGCGTGAAGGGACACAGCAAGGAAGACGTCAAACCTTTACTTGAAGCGGATTATCCAGGGTACGAGGCGATCTTCGTGAAAGATTACGCTTACGCGCTGCGTGGTAAAACCAATTACGGCTTTATTCCACGTGGATTTGTCCATACGTTTCTAATCAGAAATCCGCAGGCTGTGGTACCTTCTTATTACAAGCGTATCAAAATAGACAAAGAAACAGGTTTAGTGTTACATGATGATGTTGTAAAATCAACCATGGCATTGGGCGGTGACCCAAAGCCATTGTACGAGTTGTACCAGTACGTAAAAGAAGACCTCGGTCAACAAGCGATCGTCCTCGACTCCGATGATTTGATTGAATCTCCGCGAGACATGATGAAGAAATACTGTAACGAATCGGGCCTTCCATTTGCTGAATCTATGCTAAACTGGAAGCCCGGTAATATCAGTCATTGGCCAGAGTGTTACCAAGGCCCGGAATGGTCACATTATTATCAGAGAGCGATCGACAGTTCCTCTTTCGTCGTTAACAAGCACAAAGTCGAGCAAGATAACATTCAGGATCTCCCGGAAAAACTGATACAGTTCATTGAGAAATCAAAAGTTGTATACGAAGAAATGGCTAAATATAAGTTGTAACATCTATTTGTAACGAATAAACTAGGTCAAATAAAGAAAGTGTCCCAATATACATTTTATTTATTTATTTATTTTTGCGTAAAGGCGACAGCAATATACCCCGGGAATATATACAGGTTTGACTTGAGCATCAAAAGTGGTAGGTGGTGTGGTGGAAATGTTGTAATCTAGTCACACCCATTTTAAGAGTCCTTATAAAAGCGTCATTGTAAGTTTGAAATTATAATTCGATTATTTATCCACAATAAGTCGATTTTGTAGGCAATTGTAATTTATCACCATGGCAACGGATACATATTCCAATGTCATTGAACTCTAATAAGTATGACTTTTTTATTTTAAATTCTGTCCTAAAATATTCGATTTTTAAAACGGCTCTATGAAATAGTTTAAAATTGGTTGTTATAGCAAGAAAATATGAATTTCGATCTAATGAGCATTATTATACATCTGTCACCGTAACGCCATAAGTTACAGGGTGCCGTGACTAAATTTGGCTGTAACAGTCCCATATTTAAACCTATTATTGTTTTGTAAAAAGTTAAATATAGTGCATAATATGGAGATCCCGTCATCACTTTTTTTACCAAGTTTCTTTTTAATTACTTATGTACAGCCTAGATAAATCTTACTAAGCATTCGAAAGAGGGAATGTTTGTACCTGTTTTCTATATTATTTTAAAATCGCTTTTTGAGTATGTTCCACTATTCAAAATTTGCGATATTTTAACAGACTATAGCCAATACTGTATAGGTAAGAAAACGCAAAAAATGTCACTCCAAGTGCCCACGAACGTACATCTATACTTTAAACCAAAGTAATCATAGAAAATCTTCGCTTGGTGGCGTAGTTGCCAGCCGTCACGTTTTTCGTGTAAGAATCGCAAAAAACACAGATAAACACAGTATTTTTTGTGACATGCTCAGTTAGCGATACACTAATGTAACAACGTGTGTACCGTTTTTAACCATGACCAGAGTGTGAGTTTATTATCTAGTACTACACTATTAAAATATGTAAAACATTTCCACTCCATTGCGTACAGAAAACAACACAAGTAATAGTTAAATAGAACACTGCCCCTCAGTAACTGAGCAGAACGCACAAATCATACCATAAAATCCTCCAAAAAAACCAACAAAAAAAAACTTAAAAAGCACAAATTCAAAAGTTACAATTAAAAAAAACGACAAGGTACGAACATTAAAGACAAACCTCTTGTGCAGTGAAAGCTCGATAACAATTCAAGGGGGAGGGTCATCACTTGCGCACGCGCGGGAATTGAGTTCTAAGCGATGATAACAACACACGCTAAATAAACAAGGGCTCATGGGTAGACGCTTGTTTGTAAACAATGACGCATGCGCAGGTGACAACTCCCCGCTTTAAGTTCAAAGCATTATTGGGCACCAATAATAAAACAAATAACACGATGGAAATTGTCATCATGCATCGATAACAAAAAGAAGCGAGAATATCTAATCATCCACTGTCTTAACAATTTTGAGATTAAAACGAGTAATTTTTTTTTTCATCTAACAGAATCACTAAATTGTATTTGGATTTCTAGTAATAGAGGTTGTCTTGCGGTGTTGGTATCATCTCGTGACTTCTTCAGTTCGCACGAGATCTTCGTCGTATATCTCATCTTTACATATCCTCATCTTATAAATCCGTGACCGTACTATGAGATTAGTATTACGAAAATACCGCGAATTATACACCAATATTGTGATATGGCGAGTATGGTGATTGTATCGACCGAACTCGATCGGTATGTTACAACATGAGCATGGCCAAAAAGTTCGCCTCTGTACACAACGCGTGCCCGAAGGCAGTCTGTGTCGAAAACACTTGTCGAAACTTCCGATTTCCGATTAATGCAGCGCTTATCCATGTGACGTCATCAATTGGGCCATGCAGGGTACATTCCAGCGTGTCTAATATACATGTACTAAGAAAACAATGGAATTCACCCGTACTGCGCCAGAGGGCAGTATGGCGAACGTATCGACCGACGCGTAGCGTTCCCGTACTGACAGAGTTCATACTTTGCGGCATGCTCGTCACGGCGTGATAACGTTATAATACACTTTTTACTGCTTGTACCGTACCAATAATTTAATTAGAGATAACAACCCGTAATAGCAACAAAAACCGTTTTGCGTTGTGCGAACGTTTATGAAGGCATTTTATTTCAATCAGTGATTCGCGCTTTAGCCGGATATACGTGTGCGGTTTTTTTGTTTTTTTTTCATATTTAAGATATTTTTTATTGAGTCAAGTCTCTTAAAAAATACATTTCAGTTTCACATAAAATACCTTTACATAGTCAATACAGTCAGAAATTTACCCCATTTCTTAATATGTGCATTTAATTTCCCTTTTTTATTGGCAATAACATATTCATTGTTCTGAATATTTTGAACAAATGGTTTAAGATGTTTGAAATGTGGAATTTTTCCTTTACATTTGCAGATATAAATAAAACGCTTAGTTACCAATAACAAAAAATTAAGCAACAATGACTCATGTGGGTCTCCCAGCAGAATTGTTTCATCAGATAAAGTATTTCTCAACTCAATATGTTTTCCCCATCGCTCAGAAAATGCCTTCCAAAACAACTGAACAAGAGGACACCTTATCATTAGATGCACATATTAGTTTCCACTTCCCCTTTACAAAATGTACACATATTAGATTGGCAAATCTGTGGCAAAATTTTATTTAGTTTTACATTTGTCATTATCAAGTTGTGGTTCGTTTTCCATTGCAATTCCCTCAATTTAGTATCTATTGTTATTTTGGATGGTAATTTGTAGATAGTTTCCCAGCCATGTCCTCTCTCCCCCTGCAATTCCGAAAAGACCTCCTCCGAGCGTGGGGGGGGGGGTGATAAAACTTTGTGAAACAATACCCTTAACTTGCTTTGCTGTACATTGATTTAAGTGAATATGTAAATGAGCAGACGTGTGTGTTGTTTATTAACTCAAATAATTACTTCCACGCCTATTGATAATACCTCTGCCATAGACGTATATATGAGGATGAAACATTTTAACACTCATAATTTAAATCAGTATGTTTATTAGTAAGTAAAACACACAACTAAGTAGCACCTTGACTTACACAAAACACTTCACTTCAATTTCAATCGGGTATTTGAAACCAAAAATTGTCATTCCAGCTCACAGCCAATCATCGACGGCCTTACAGTCAGATGACAATTTCGGTTTCAAATACCCCAGGAAAGTGTTTTATGTTCTTTGTGTAATTAGGTGTTCGTATGCAAGGGGTTTTTCCACACAAAAACGACGAATTCGACCGAATTTTGTAAAAGGTTGGCTTAATATATCCCCAACGGATCGTATTTTTGTGAAAGATTGGTATTTCTGTCCTGATTTGTAGGAATCAAAAAACGCGTTTCACAACTTGTCTCTTATTTAGTTTTATGCTGCATTCAAGATGGCGGCCCCAATATAGTAAATATCGTATTTATTTTATTAATACGGGTGCGCCAGCTGACTGTGTACTAGTACATCTGTAGAAATGCCTCACGTACAGAATGAACGAGGTCAAGATGAGTTCATTGAGGTCAGCAAAATGAGTATCAGCTGTCTTCCCCTGGTATTGAAATACTAATGTCATAGGTGAGTCGAAGCTCTAAGTTCACTTCTAATGCAACCAGTAAGTACGGTGTACCAATTACTAACGTCCATTTCCTAACACGGATATGGTTTCTTCGTGTCGGCGTCGCTATGTCTGAAGCATGTACGTGTGACCACAAACATGTGACCGGTTTATTGCGATGTTCAAGCCCTTGGACATGGTTAAACTGTTCGTGTTGGCAGCATAATTCCTTTAAATGGGTCCTAGCCGAGGGTTCGAGTAGCAGTCCAACTACCGCAAAATCGTCTACCTATAGTTGTGTGCCCTGTTGTGACCTAATTGTCTTGCTGCCGCCTCTATTCTTATCTACAA